TATATAAAAATGAATTGCTGTTCGTTAGTCTCGCTAAAACTCGAGAACAGATGGACCGATTTGGCTAATTTTGGTCTTGAATTATTTGTGGAAGTCCAGAGAAGGTTTAAAAGGTGAATAAATATGAAAGTTGTTAACTATCTTTCAGATTATTTTTATGTAGATTGATAAATCTTAAGTTTTGTCACAAATTAAATTTCTGAACGCAACCATAATATTTGACATTTGTCAACCAAGTTTATTTTATACAAAAGTTTAGGTCTTTTATTTATCGATTGAGGCAGTACAAAGTCTGCCGGGTCAGCTAGTAATGAATAAACTCTTCAAGAAATCCGTCTGGCAGTTTCGACAGAATACAGACCACTTCGAATTATTTTATTCGATTAAGCTAACGTGCCTATCACGTGAGGTCGGCTACGCCGGGATTCGTTTTCAGCAAGTAGATATCCATACAAGTGGACCTTGTTGGAGCATACGTAATCCTAAAATGTAACATCGTGCTACAGATGGCGTTCACTGTGCCATTTGTAGTATTTTCTGAATAAAGTTATACTTCATTTACTTTCTGTAGCGATGTGCCTCTTCCAATGTCTTGTCAGTAGTTGCTGTACTGGTTGAATTTCAAATTTCAATTGATATACATTGGAAAAAAACCATTGGAAACTAAATGTTTGCGTCAGTAGTTGCTGTACTGGTTGAATTTCAAATTTCATTTATTATACATTGGAAACTAAANTTTTAATTAAAATTATTTATTTAAAATTACACCTATCAGATTTCGTTTAGAATCAGACGTAGGAGATCGAGCAATTAATTAGAAGCGAGTCAGTAGTGATACAAGGTGGTGAGACGGTCACCGTCTTGTCTCGCCCTGATGACTTCTTTTCTGTTTTTTACTTTCCCCAAGTATATAATAAACTACGGTAATAGATATATTACTAAGTCTTTTGTTTATTATATGCATTCAATATGACATTAACGTAATTATATAAATAAATAGAATGAAATAATAAATAACGTATTATTGTCCAAAATTCTTTTTTTTGTTTGTCTTATATCCTATCATCATAGAATTGTCAGTTCCAAGACTGGTTGGACACGCATCTCCACTCTTTCCTATCTTGAGATAATCTTCACATTTTCCTAAAACTAGAACATCCCACATCCTTAATTATTTGCGAACACTAATTTCATCTAGGTCTACCTTTATTCCTCTAGGTCTACTTTCACTCTTCTTAACTCCTGTTTCTGCTTATATTATATCTCTAATTAGTCTTCATATCTGAGTAGGTGCCGTATACTTTGGCATTTTTTACATGCACTTAAAATGTTTCATAATCATCAAGGTCGTCAGGTTGAAAGACTGGTTGGACACGCACCTTCACTTTTTCCTATCCTGAGCTAATCTTCGCATTTTCCTAAATCTAGAATAACCCACATCCTTAACTATTTACGAACAGTAATCTAATCTAGGTCTACCTCTACTCCTCTTAACTCCCGTTTCTGCCTCTAATATGTCTCTGACTAGACCTTCCTGCCTAAGAAGGTGTCCTTCTAACCTAAATCTTATTGAGTTCCATAGAATCCTCAGTTCTTCTATTTTTTCTAATACCTCTTCATTTCTAACCTTCTCTAATAGGTATTTTTTATTTAACTGACTGACTGACTTAACTGACTTTCTTTAAAGTAATGACGACCGAAGCCCACGTATACATACGTCTACGTACATACATATGTGTCTTAGATATCTACATTTTTCTTCCCCGATTTAAAATCCACTTATAAAATAAAAAATTCAATTCACGCTTTTGTCGGCGAGCGCAAATAAATGTAGGTATCTAAAAATATCTCTTGAAAAATTTATAAGACGCCACGATAAATACGTGGTAACGTTTCTAGAAATAGGACGCGTTATCGATCCGTTGTTGCTTGCTCGACAAAAACGCTTAAGATCAATATATAAAAGTATTGTAGAAAACATAAAATTTTCTGTTCTCCCTTTCTATTTTTTGAAAATAATAAAAACTACTACCAATGGCGTGCTGACGAGATTCAGTGAAATCCAAATGAACTTTTTGTTTTGTTTGGTTGCGTGTCTACCGAGTGGGTTCTGTTCGACAAGTCGACATCCTTGGATGGATCTAGCAGTTTTCTACACTGTTTGTAGTAATTCATTAAACCCAGTCTAAAGACAGCAAGCAGAGTTAGTCTATGTTCAATCGGAACTATATACGGTGTGCTGACGAGATCCAACGGGATCGGAAACGCGATTCACATCTGATCATACTAATCAGCATGGACATTTTTGTCCATGTCAATATTGTTACGTATAAGCATGTAGGTACGACATTCATGAGGAAGTACGTACCCATATGAAGGATACTTATGACATGAAGACAGGACAAGGAGAGCAGGTATCGTAAAAATTTTTAGACTGGATTTGAATTGCATTTTATGGATTTATTACTAAAAATGAACTGATTTAAACATATCACGAATTAGCCGTTTTGTTCGTAATATCATAGTTTAGGGTTTCGTGATATGTTTATACAAGAAGCCATAAAAGTATACATATAAAATATGCAGGTATAAGCCGTTTTGGCAACACGTTATAGATTTACTTGGTGACAGTCACAATGACGTCCTTAATACATTAATTTGTGGTGAAGTCCAGAGGAGTTATTCTTCTGGTCGTTTGCGTTTGTAAAGATTTCCTTGTCTACTTTTTGTTAACTGAAACCGCAACACTCATAATAGAGGATTAACTTATATCTGCGATGTTGTCTGTTCTCTCTAGAAGTAAATGTTTACCAGTTGTTCTTTAATACATTACTTTCTATATCGAACCACTATATTATGAAAAAATCCTTTTAACGTAGACATTATTTCATTTTGACTAGTTTTGCCTCATCACTCATACATAAAGATGGACGTAGCTGGTTGTTTTTTTGCATGGACTAAGGCTGAACCTTATTGCTGCACATTTTAAAATCCTAATAACCCAAAACACTTTAGTTTTCACGATTATATGAGTAAATTACGCAACTAAGTAACGCAAAGCGTCTTAGCTTATTTGGGTAAGATAAATGGTTATGGTTTTAAATTTTACGTTATATCCGATTAAATGAATATTGAGGATGAGACAGCACATAGACCTAAACTTTCAATGAATGGGCCTTATGAAATGCATATGACTAATGAAAGGAAAGCTTTGCATCTGCAGAGGAAACAATTGCTTTAACATATGCGGGTGTCTCACAGTTTCTTGGCCAAGCCATAGAGAAAGAAGTTAAAATGATAAGGAGATGAAATAAAAAACCATTTCAGTAGTCAGGTAGTAAGTTTTCAAAACTCATAATTAACCACCTTCTGGGGGTAATTGTGTCTGTTTAACCATCCTCAAATTTTATTTTTCAATTGCTACAAGAATCATATTTTTCATATTTTTAAGTCATTATGAAGCTCTTTCAATTCTAAATGGATGGAAATTTTATTGAACTTAATTAGTCAATTTGTTATTGAGATGTTAATTTCTTTATCCAAAATGTTTATTGTTCTAAACTTTTATAAATTTTGGCCAGTGTGAACTAGACTTATAGTTCCGAAAAGCCCCGCAAGAGTGCACCTGCTGCAAATCCCCGTTTTCCATATTGTAACGTACTGAATACTACTCCGTACTTTCACTTTTACTTATTTGTGAATTATTTATGTTGCAAAGTTATACGAATAGAACTCCAGTTTCTTTAAAGTAAACTTCTTAATCCATTCTCTAAAATTGTGGTAATATTAATGGTTCTTTTATTTTCTGTCACTACTTTCTACTTTCAGATATCATTTGATGATATGATAAAGAATATTTTGTAGCGGAGTTGTAGGAAAATCTTACGGTCTACAATCTATTTTTAGCGATGACTAGAAACATGCGAACAGTTCACATTCTTCTGATAATACTTTGGACAACATGGTGAGAAGGTAATTTTACTCTATTTTCGTAACGAATTATTAATACACCTTTAATTAGAAAATATTTTTCTCAATTTTTCACTAATTTGTAATAGAAATTTGTACAAATCCAACAAGAAGTTTTGATTGATGTGTTTTTTTATTCAAATAAATGATTTTGATATTGTAATTATGATTTTTGTGACCTGAAGATTCATTTTCTACGAATAAATTGTTACAATTAAAAAAATAACTATGTTGGAAAATTTTCTTTTGGATTTTACAGATATGCAAGAAAATCGATGATGATCTAACTTGAAAATATTATTTTGGAAATGAGATCTTTTTATATTGAAGTACTAAAGTTTGGGGTCGATGCGATGAACATTCAGTAAATCAAAATTGGTTGGTGAGTGAAGTTAATTACTATCTATTAAAAATTTTTAATGTTGAATCTAAATAATTTATTGCAAAAGATAACCGAGTTCTTTCATAAATTTATATGGTTGCATTTTCATTCAAATGTTTTTTATTTATTGGGACTCCACACATTTTTTCCAAAATTGTCTAAAGTTACTTCTAGTTCATTAAATTCAAAAATTAGATTTCTTTCAAAAATCCAATTAGGCATTAGTAGAAAATGTTGTTTTACTTTATGAACCAATTACCGAATTCAATGCGTTTTTGAAAATTAATTAACAATCTGTTTAATAACCAGTCTAATTTTATTTAAATTATTCTTGATATATTTTTATAAAATTAAAATTACAACTATAAAATTCCCAAAGGAAACTGCTTAAGTATTTAATTTATTAATTCTTTACTTGTATTATATTTATATGTATTTTCACTGATTTATTTTATTGTACAACGTTTCGCCGGCGCTATTGGGTGCATCTTCCGGCGTGCTTGATGCACATCGGGTGATTCGCGAATCGGTACGCGAAATCCGTATAATTTTGAAAATAAATTCATGTAAGTCTGACCACATTAATATATTGCTAAATTTTGCATTTTATGTAAAAATTAAATCACGATGTAAACTTTTCCTTTTTTTGAATTTTAAATTATTTTAGTTTAAAGCATTCTATATTTATTATTATTTATTGATTACATAATTGTTTTATTAAATTTGTGATGCTAGTAAGTAAATTTAATTATCTAATGGAACATAAATTAAAAAATACTAATTTGGAATATTTTTTCGATAACTATCTAACAAAATCTTTAATGAATACTTGCATGAGTTTACGGTCGAAAGTCCGGTGTATATTCCCGTAAGGACAATTCGTAAATGGGTTTACGGACAATCTGTTTTGGTGACATTTTTCGGTAACAGCGTACGGTACGCTCGGGTGTGCGTTATAGTTTGACCGGTGTAGTGTACGGACGCGTAGTGCGTTAGTACTGAAGTACAGTACCGCGCGTAAAAAGTATCGGTGGAAACGTTAGAAACGGGGTAGTAAAGTGTCCGAAACGTAAAAGACTTAAAGTGGTTCCAGCAGATGATGGATCTTTTGACATATGACCTTTCGACCAGGACACTTCAACTGGAAAAATTAAAGGTAGGATTTTTTTAGGAATTATTGACTTGTAACTAGTCTGGGTCTCGAAGTTTCGTGTTGTCTTTGGCTTTTGACTTTTGTAGTAAAAAAGTGTACACAAAACTTATACTTTTAATTTAGCCTTTGAGTAAGCTAAGGGGACATTCAAGTTTTACTTAAGCACTGCAGGGGGACGGGGGGGGGGGTCTTTACTTTATTTATGTGGGATGTCTAGATGGTGATTACGTCAGCAATATTTATTTTTTTGTTGCTTTTTCGGATTTTTTACAAAATTTAGTCGATTGTAGTTTGAATAGATAGGGCAAACCCATTTGTCTATGTTTGAAAACGAAATGCATTTTCAAGGGCTCATAATAAAGAGACCAGGACACATATTGAAAAATGCATGTACTAATATTTACGTAAGCATGGGAGGAGGGGTATGAGCTTTGCTTACTTTTGCTGATGCAGGGCGGGGGGGTCAGTCATTTCAAAAAATCTGTTTACGTAATACTTGAACGGCCCCTAAGTAGTGTTCATAATCTTATATATAAAAAAATGAATTGCTGTTCGTTAGTCTCGCTAAAACTCGAGAACGGATGGACCAATTTGGCTAATCTTGGTTTTGAATTATTTGTGGAAGTCCAGAGAAGGTTTAAAAGGTGAATAAATATGAAAGTTGTTAACTATCTTTCAGATTATTTTTATGTAGATTGATAAATCTTAAGTTTTGTCACAAATTAAATTTCTGAACGCGACCATAACATTTGACATTTGACAATCGACTATGTGTAGTTTAGGTTTTTTATTTATCGATTGAGGCAGTACGAAGTCTGCCGGGTCAGCTAGTAATGAATAAACTCTTCAAGAAATCCCCAAATTTATTTAAATAGAAAACTTAATTTTATGGATTTTTCCTTAGATTATATTTTTATTGTTACTCATGCTTCATCTCCAAATTATCTAGCAAAAAAAATTGTGCTATTTTTCATATGATGCAACACTTATAAATTACAAAAAAATAATTTAAATTAAAAAAGTGTTAATTTACTTAGGAGCAAACATAAAATTAAGCATGTACATTTGCAAATGTCTCACATAACTAACTTCATTTACATCCATAATTCAGAATAGCAATAGGAACTTGAGGATTCATCTCAAGATTATTAAACAATTGTAAAGATTTCGGTTTTTAAGAAAGATAGATTACATTACTTTTCCGAACTTATCGCTTAGTACGTAAGTTTCCTTTCCATACCTTTGCAATGTTTTAAAATTCTAATAAGTTAGGATTTTACATTATTTGACTGATGACTNAAAAAAAATTTTTAAAAACCTTGTTTTTCTTGGTCAGGCCGGAAACTTATCAATCCACCCTCGTATAAGAATTAGGTCTTTATTCCAATTTTATGTCGATGTCGTTACACCTAACAGAGTTGTAATAGGAGGGGAGGTGAATAGGGGCAAAGGGGTGAACTAGACAAAAATATCTTGATTGGTTCCCATTATTTCGGAAAAACTTTTAGGCAGGGGAAGGAGAAATCAATTAGCGAAATTGAATGTGACATTGACCTTGATCTTCGAGGCCTTTTGACTATCAAGTAATTGCTTTTAATGGGAATACCAATATAAAGGGTAGGAAGTTCGTTGTCGTTGAAATTCGTTGACAATTGGTAGGTATTATAAAAGCGGTTTTAATGTTTTTTATCCAATTTGCGTTAAATATTGAATGAACTTTTGTATTTTATGAATTGCATAACCCGGCGCCTTCACCAAAGTTCATCATCATCATCATCATCATCATAAGGTCGTCAGTCCTAAGACTGCTTGGACACGCACCTCCACTCTTTCCTATTCTGAGCTAAACTTTTTCCTAAAAATAGAACAACCTACATCCTTAACTATTTGCGAACAATAATCTAACCTAGGTCTACCTCTACCCCTTCTAACTGTTCCTGTTTCTGCCTCTAATATGTCTCTGACTAGACCTTCATGCCTAAGTGACCTACCAACCTATTTCGACTATTTTTTTATTGACTTCCGTAGAGTCCTCTTCATTTCTAATCTTTTCTACCTACGTTATCCGCATGTAACACCACATTTCGAAGGCTTCTAACCTTTTCTTTTCCGCCGCGCCCACTGTCCATGTTTTGCACCCGTACAACGCCGCGCTCCACACATACACCATTAACAATCTTTTTCGAATTTCTAAATTTATCGTTCGCGAGCATAGAAGTGACTTCTTTTTATTAAAGGCGACACGACCTTGCGCTATCCTCTGCTTTATATCCCCACTACTCCTTCCGTCCTGACTTATCTGACTTCCTAGATATCGAAAATTAGCCACTTCTAATTTTTCGTCTCCTATCTTTATATTCGCTCTTTCCCTACTTTTTCTTCCCTTGCATACCAGTATTTTAGTTTTTCTTTTATTTATTTTCATGCAGTAGTGATCTGTCAGTACCGCTTCCATTTTATTTAAAGCTAGATGCTAATACTGCTCAAATAGAAAACATGAACACAGTTGGGTTTAGGGAATTGCGAATATTAGCTCAGGAAAGGAAAGAGTGGAGGTGCATGTCCAACCAGCTATAGGACTGACGACTTCATCATGATGAGAATTATCAGTTATTCCGTCGAATTCTAAAAAAGTGCCGGATCTAAACCGGGTTCCTGATCACATCTCTCTATCGATGTCTCGGATAGGAACATTCTTTTTTTAACTCAAATTAGAATTTCATTCTTTTCTTTCCCATCATCCCCATACATTTCCTATTATCTCTAACGCTGTCTTCCTCAGTTTTTTTTAAAGCCCATCTACTACATTATTTTTTTGCAGTACGTACGAATTCTAGTGCTTTGCACTTCTTCGATTATTTTTCCTTTTAACTGGAATTCTGGCTTTTCCTCTCTTCTTTCTGACTTTTTTTTTCTTAAAATTTTTAACACTTTTAACACACGAATTTTTGAAGCATTTCTTTTAAGCCTCTTCCTTGTTGGTCGCTAATAATACTATGTAGCCAGCAAGAGTAGAAGTGTAATATTGAATATCCTTTAAAATGTCGTTCTAAACATCCCCACAGGTTCTTTAAAAACTCATTAATTAAGCGTTTAGTTTTTCCTATTAGAAAAGAAAACTCTCTCTGCGTAGGTGTTATACCGAGTGGAAATGTATCGTATGAAATATTATTATCGGGAATGCCTGATACATCAAGAAGCGTGTATGTTGTCGAATTTTCTTTCAAAGAGTCCGGATTCGTTTGCGCATGTTGGTTACTCCGGGAGCGATGCGGTTATACTGTAGTCGAAATGGTGGGGGCCGAATAGTCCGTGATGCCGTTCAGTTGAACTTTCTCCGTGTTGTGGTGAACTTCTTCTTCATACGTAGTACCCATCATCATTAGAGTTGTTGGATCGCGGATTTTTGACGATGCTTTACCGTTCGCGATTTTGTTTCGAACTTTTTCTGTGGCTGTTCTGGGCTCGTGCCCAGGCGAACGTTGCGGACGCTGAGGTCAATATCGACACCACGATCGAGGAGCATATGCGGAAAGATGCGGACTTGTCTCAGGTAAGATAATTTTTTGGTTGTTTGAAACGATTGCGGACTGCCCGGCGAGCGACTTGAAGAGTGGAACGTGAATTTGACGGTCAAGGTTGTTGCCGGTGAATGAAAACTGGCATTGTCGAAGGTTTTCTAGTTATCAATTGCAAGTTTTTTTCGGTTATTGGGTTGGTATCGCGCGTGTAGTAAATAATCTAATGTGGAAAAAAATTCAAAAAGTTGAAAAATGTATTTGCCGAAATGCTTTTCAAGATACAAGAAAAATTATAAAAGAAGAAATAAAACACATAAAGTGCTACAATAAGGATGAATGAATGAATGAATGGTGAATTTCGGTGATGATCGTCGTCTGTTTGTGTGTCACTGTCGATTATTTTGGCATGTATTGTGTCAAAGTAATTGGCTTGAAATTTTGATATAGCATGTAGTTTGTGGTTGAAATACAAAAAAAAAAAGAAAACCAAAATCATTTTATTTTCTTTGGAAAAGAGGTCTAACATTTGTAAGTGGAATACAGAGATAGGTACAATTTTAAATGCTCTTTATTTAAATTTTGAACCATTTTGGGTTATTTCTAAAATATTGAACATTCTGTCATGTTAAAATCTGATATCATTTATCGCTACTAAGTTTTAGGTCAAATTTTCTACTACTTATCGATTAATTTTTGTATTGGGTTTGGGTTTTGCTTCTTTTGAATTACTAAAAAATTTTTTTAAAAAAGAAAACAGACTAGGTAATTGTTATATATGCAGGGAATGTCAGGAGTACCTATTTGACCTATCTTTTTAAACTTATTACGTTTTAAAATGCAAGTTGAAAACTTTGTAATGGTTAATTTCCATTACATATTAGAATTAAGTGGAAAAATAATAGGTAAAATCAATTTCATTAGTTAATTGCAATACTTTTAAATTAAAA